GTCTTCAGTGCCGTTCAGGCCTGTCCTTACACTGCCAGATTGTTCTCTATGCTACCAGTATTACCTGATGTTACATGCGACCGGACAGCGCTCTATATGTAACTACGTAACATGCGTGATACTGTATCTTGGAATACAGTACTATTCAGATCTCCGCATCTTCGTGCAGTTATAAGTCTTTCAGACAGTACGCGACAAGACCAGGTGTCACTAGATAGGCAGGGCATTTGCCAGATACGAGAAGTTGCCATGTTCCTAGGATTGACTCGATGTTGTGCCTATCATATCATATCATCACAGTTCTGTCTCACTACATTTCTCACACAGTACAAACCATATTTGCATGTTGTGTTGTCAGACCATGCTTTGTGCGACAACATAGAAGTAGTTCGTGCCAACAAATCATGAGGCCGCCACAGACACCGGCCTCCTGCAGCAATCCTTCATGGCATGGAAGCTTGGGAGCAATTGGCCTCTTCGGGGTCATGCCTGGAAGTCATATTTTCTTACGTTACAAGCCTTTGCACATGCCCGTGTAGGATAAACGTTTCGATGATGCCGCACTTCGTTGCCTGCATTACCTGTGATGTGCTGTTTGTGCTGTCCAAGCGTGTGGAGGGTGGCCCTTCCAGATGTCGAACACACTGTTCCGTCTATCCAGCAGCACAACACCACCGAGGCCTTCAGCATAGCTCTTTTGGGGCTACTGCCAGTTGGCACTCTTCCAGGTCATGCGGAACCAAAGCTGTTGTAGCAGTGTCCGGCTGCCAAGTTGCAGGAGGCATGGAAAGCGCGCAGCCTATGTTTTCTGCCACGCGGCACTCGCGCGCAGTCTCGCAACATCTCCACCGAGCACTCCAGCCCTCCAGAAAAAGCGGCATGTGGGTTCGTTGGCTTGATGCAAGTTGAGCCAAGCTCATTTGGAGCCACACATGGAACAACGAACCAATTGGTCGCGCGCAAGTGACGTGCCCGGCAGAACGTTGGACCGGCGGTTAACGCAGACGAGCGCTACTCGTAGCGCCAAGTGCCCCTGGGAAAGAAGGGAGGAGGTATGCAAAGGAAGGCAAGACGCGGGTGAGTCCTGGGGCCTTGGTCGTGTACCGAAGTCTTTTGACCTGGACTGGCCCTAAGCACGGCCTGTTCATTGCTCCGACTGATTCTTTGTTGCTTCTTCGTGCCAGCGGTAGGCATTCGAGAGGGTTTAGTTGGCTTGGGCTGCCCTTGCCAGTGTCCTGCAATGAATCATTGTAATTAGTCCCATGTTTGTGATGGCAGCTTTGCCATACCACTCAGGCTTATTGCAAGTAATTCCTAGCTCAGCCATTGGTTATGGGTGCCGCCAGAAGGGCAGATGCATTTCCCTGGCACAAGGCTTAACGAAGTTTGACTTCGGGGCATGAAGTCCCAGGACTGGCTATGCCTTCGACGGAAAGAAGCTGCGAGAGTTGGAGGACAAGGTACCGGTGCCCTGCCGACAGGGCTCTGTGGACAGCTTCTGTGCTTCAGACTGCGAGGTCGATGGCAATGATGATGAGCCCATGCCTTAGGCGATACGCCAAAGCAACTCAGGTTTCTTTCTGCTCTGTTCTTTGCCGAAACGCGAGCTGTTGGCTGTTGACTAGTTTCCTTGAAGGGTGGTCTACATCAAGACGGTGCACCGGGAAATCGGAAGCTCCGTGTCAGGTGGCATGGCACTGTCGGGGGGAAACGTGGCATTTACACACAACTGGCTTTGCAAAGCCAGTGCCTCTGTCCATTGCAGCCTGCGAGGCCTCGCCGGCGACCAGATAGACTTGAACTCCATGCGCTTCGGCTGATCGACAACTGCAATTTCATCAACCAGCGCTGCGAATTGAGCGGGCTTGGCCTGGGTAAGTCAAACCACTTGTGCCGAGGTACCAGTGTTGGATGGCTTGGCAGATTGAGGCCAAAACCAAGCGAATAGCCGCTTGACCCACACGCCTTGGGGCTTTTGTCTCCGCTACAATGACACGGTGACTGTTGCAGCGTCTCCCCATCACTGAGGACAAGTACTACAGCGTAAAGATAGACAGCAAGAGGAAGCAATTGGCCAGCGTCCAGATGCTCTTCAAGAGTTTTGCCGAAGAGCTTGATGCAGGCCGTAGTCTTTCTACCAAACTCCACCCCTGACTACAAGCGTGCTTGATGTTTACTTGATTGGTGTTGTGCTTCCTTAAGCGAGCACATGCCACGCCTCGTGCATTGCATAATGCCCGATAGTGCAGTTCACAGCACACGCAACTTGACATTCCCTGACACAGCCCGGGTTCACGGTTTGGGTTTGAGCTTTCAGGTGGAGGCCCTGCAAAAATCTAAACTCCTTTGCCGCACCCAAATACTAGAGTGTCTGGGGGCAGAGAAGTGCAAGCACGTATTTGTGGTTATATCGGTTATATATTTTCTATGTAAGTAAACATAAATAAATGTATAGAGATGTATTTGTGCATTTGGTGTATGTTATACATGTATAGATAAATAAATAATAAATAAATATAAATATCAATATAAATATAAATATAAATATAAATATATATATATATATACACACAGGATATGCCTTTACGTCTTGTTTTCGGTTGTTATTAGCCTCACCTCATGGTCTTTATCGTCCTGGCCACCAGCATTTTGTTGCAGACCCACGAATTTCCACCAATACATATACTATAGAAAAGTACGGAACATGTAACAGATGTCCAGGGTATATACTCATACATACCAAATATTTCAACATGCATACCATATCGTTGAATATTTTGAGTTGTGTTACATACATCAGAGAGTTTGTTCTGGCTACGGCACATAACACATAATACACAACAGGTTTTATATGATACATAAACACATGGTGTTGCCTAAGCAACACGGTGTACATATAAAGAGGTACATAGATAGTCATTTGTAGGATTTGCTAAGTAGGTGAAAACTATAGTACACAACATGTCGTTCATAGTCGCAAATGTATAGCATGGTATGTGTTGGTGTATCACAAATTCCGTGAGGTATGCAATTCACCCCATGTACAACATGCGAGATGCGGTGTGCAACATAGAAACAGTATGCAATCCACAGCACTTACTCAATATGTCACGATGATGCAATACAAATCAACATGACCTAGTACAGTGTAGTATACTACTGTGCAGTACAGCACGGTATTGAAAACTTCAGTATAACTTGACATGGCAGGGTGGACGCAATACAACACAATAAGACACGGAGCCAAAAAAGATACCGCGTGTTATGAAAAAATACACCGTAACAATTTGCATAATCTGGTTTAACACGATGTAGTACGATATGGCCTAACATATTGGACCTTGACGTAGTACGAAGTGTGTTAGAATGCAACGCAATGCGCTGTGTCATGCAACATAACATAACCAGATAGACCAAATACACTATTAGTGCAATCAGGACCAAATACAGCCTAACATAATACAGTATTAGCATTGCACAACCTCGTACTGTCTGACAAACCTAAACTCTTTGCTAGACCCTCTGGATGCAAGGCAGAGAGAGAGGGGGGGCTTTGCCTTTCCTTTGGCTGCGTGGATGATGCGCAATCTAAATAGGATAGTATGAATTACTTATAAATGTAAAAGAATGCACATAAACTAAGTAGTTATACAAATACAAACCCATGTCCAAATACCAACATGCACATGCATGTACAAACATCTGCCACGCACATACATACACATGTGTCTTGTGATAAACGGCCAGCGGAACAGCTTTCTCAACTGGGTCTCAACCTTCTCAAGTGGCGGGTTTGTCGCCTGCTTCTTGCATTGAGGCATTGTCGCTAATAGTTTCCAACGGCTCTTCCAAATTGTCGTTGGGCCTGGTTGCTTTCAATGATGCCTTGTCCGGCTTGCATTGTCCTCGAGCCTGGCGGCTGGAAGCCTACAGCACAGCGGGAGGCTTGAAAGACATTGACAAGGAGGCGGCTGGAGATTCTTCCGAGCGCCTGCAACAGAAGAGCAAAGCGAGGGGAGTGGGCAAATCAGATGCCGCCCCAAGGCAGCATTAGGGGCTTTCCTTCAATCGTAATGGCCCTTAGACCTTGCCCCTGGTGAGCCGATGAACTGGACAGGGATAGCGTCGTTCTAATTCGAGGAAGCCCTGGCTTAGGTCTATGCCATGGCTGGAGCAGAAGAGCGCTCAGATGCTGAAGTTTACTGGCTTGGTAGGGCTCTGATCGACGTGATTTGCCCGAGGTCTCTCTTCCCGACATACATGCAAAGAAACACTGATGGCCTGTGGCCTCTGGCTGTAATTCAGTATTAGGGATTAGGCAGTCTTCTGCACATGGTTTAACATGGGCAGTGTTCGCTGCTGCTTGACTTGCTGCAGCAAGAAGGGCGAGGTTCACCGAGAGCGTACGAAACAGCTTTCAAGCCGCTGCGACTCCAGCATGTAGATGTCTCACCTCATCCTCAGCAAGATTGACTTGAGTTTCTATTTAACGACCACATGACGGCTGGGTGGGGTTTTGGCAAGCCATAGGAACGCGATAGTGTGTTGGACCTTCGTATGGGATCCCTGGCGATCGCCAGAAATTTGTGGCTTTTTGACGACGGTGCCTGCTGCAAAGCATGCTTCGATGAGGCTGGCAGGCACAAGGGACGTGCACTTGCAAAGCATGTGGCGTTCCACACAAGCCCTGTGAATACGATCCTCGCCCACAAAGTGGAGCCATTGACCGGATCTGCTCAAGCAGCATGTATCCGAGTTTCACCACTATAGATAATATTGACCATAGCTCCTGGCCGTGCTCATGAACTGCAAACCTCAACACATTCAAGACAGCAGCTCGGTTTTGCCTTGGTCTAAGAAGACTTCCGCTGTTTCCGGAAGCTCGTGAGCTCGGACACGCCAGAAGCTTGCGCTTCACAGCGCTTGTGAAAATACTTCTGTTGCGTCGCCGATGCACCTCACCGCCCCTGACTTGGCAGCCTATGGAGTTCCCCTTGCAGGGAAGTCAACGAGTCCAACTTGGTCGTGTGCATTGACATTTGCGACCGTGCGCATCTCAACGCACAGGCTTCTGAACTTTGATTTCTTGTCTGCGTATCTGCTCCGCGAACAGCGCGCAAATTACCAGCTGCCCTTCGACCTGTGATGCAGGACACTGGCAGTCTAGAGCTAGAGTTTAATTGGACATGGGTTGGTTGGCCGTGGCCTGCGAACGCTACAGCTTCTGACGTGGACTTTCTTCTTATAATACTGCCTGTGCCGATTAGGTGATGCGATCAGCGGTACAGACAGCTTCATGTGCCGCGGCTTGGCTGAAGAGGGGCATGCATCCTTCGCTTCGGCCAGTTTAATTACTTGTAGCCCATGTTCAAACACTGGCAGGTGGTCAGGTGCCCCTCCGTTCTGCCTGGGAGGCAGGAAGCTTCCTGGTCCAGGGCATTCGGGTTGCCGGTGCCCGCCCAGGCCGCCACCAAGGGCCGCAGCGTGGTGTCGCCCCAATGGGTGAACTTGACGCGGGAGCCCAACACATTGGTGCCGCGTCACGTGGGGTGCGACCCTTGTCCCAGGCCGTCTGCTGGAGGCCGCTTGCAAGTGGGTTTTTCTACCAGCCCAGCGAAGGACCCTCGCACAGATGCATCGCCGACCGCTGCAGAAAGAACCAGAATAGAAGAATATGCTAGACTTGTCGCCCTGGCTCGTAGAGGTCAGAAAGGATGTACGGCCGTTTGACAAACACGCCGTGTGAGTTTGCTCAGCCTTTCTCCAGATCCCAGGTCCAAGTCAACGAGTCACGCCAAGCACCAGCATCATAATGAGCAGAACACGTTTAAAGCAAGAACGTCACCGGAGGGTGGGGCAGACAGCAAAGGGTGTGGAACAGATACTCGAGCAGGATCAACTTATCGTCCACATCATGGGGGCGGAGAAGCTTCCTGGACGCCTTACGCCTAGTGCAGAATGTGCAGAGCATCGTGGGATAGAGACTTCGCACATCTTCACCTGTCAGGTGCGACTTCCGGCCTCGCAGACCCGTCAGAGCCATAGCTACTCTCACCCACGCGGAGCGATTGTCGGCTATGGCTCAGGTTTTGCCTCGTTCGTTTGGCTTTCATGGGCCAGCTTGGCGAGCCTACAGACCAGGCAAGACAAGAGTATACAAGAGTCTTCTTCGGGTTTGCGCGACGAGAGGGCACCCGAATGAAGCACGCGTGGAGTCACCGCTTGAGCATCACAGAGGCGTCGGTAAACTTGCCGTTTGCCCGTGCCTCAGGGCATGAGCTGCCAGTCTATGTGCCAGCTTCCATGAAGCGATGCCGCGGTTTCAAAAGCCAAGGTGACCACGCCTGCGGGAGAGCTGACAGACGGTACAGAGACCCTGTTCTTCCAGCACCAGGACATGGCCAGCTTGTGTTGAGGGAAGCACAAGCAGCTACATTCGTTGCGTGGGAGTAGTCGCATTGGAGGAAGTACTGGAACTGCCTGGTGTCTGTGTCTCAGATACAGTAGCTCAGTAGCTCCCCTCCCTCGATCTAGTATCCTTTGAACGGTGAAGCACGCGCACGCGATGCCTGAGTCTCTGTCGCGATGACACTCACAAGGAAGCAGCCAGATGCAGGGTGTGTCATGAATGGATCCGTTTAACGAATTCTCAGCTTGACGACTTCGCCACCACGTCTAGGTGCCAGCGGTGAACAGTAATGAACCACTCAGTCAAGACGGAGTGCCCCAGGCACTGTCGGAAGGCATGGTGGCAGCGGGACACCCAGACTGCTTTTTGGCTGCCTTTTCAGGCTGAGGGTTTCTCGCATGTGGGAGAGCAGCGTTATGACTGCGCTTCAAGAGCTATGCCGTATAGGACCGAACAGCGTGGTTAACTCAGAGTGACTCATCAGTAGACATCACTGGCCCAGCTTGACAGATGCCGCGATGCCGGACGAACTTGCATTAGAGCAAACAGTTTACGGCTGCAAGGCACATGCATTGCACGTCCCCTTTGTTGGCATCTGTTCATTCCCTAGCGGGCCATGGCACGGCCTGGCGCAATGAAGCGGCATCAGACTTTTCGGCGGCGCCATGTTGCTCTTTGTGGCTGCTTGCTGGGCGCGGTTAGCACGGTCAGCAACTGCTTCTGCAACACGCGAGGGTCGTCTCAGATGGAGAGCAAGATCAGACGGCAAGGTGCCAAAGACACCATGGAGTCCTTCTATTCAGCCGTGAACAACCGGGACCTTGAGAGGGCCATGGATATGGTGGACGACGATGCCACTTACGAGGATTTTACGTTTCAGGAGCCTTTCAAGGGCAAGGAAGGAGTGCGGGAGCTGCTCGAAGATGCCATGGAGTTGCCGAAAGGCCTTGATTTTGTCATCGATGAGACGGCCGGTGGAGAATCCTGGAGTGGAGATGATTCTGTTGGCATGACGTGGCACGTGGAGTTTGATGGTGTTCCTTTGCCAAACAGTCGCGGGGCTTCGCTTTACAAAACGCGGGGTGGCAAGCTGTTCTACGCCCGCAGCTTGCCCACAAAGCGGTTTTCTCCTGTCTAGCCGGGGGTAGGGTTTCGCAGATGCCCCAGACGTACACAGGTGATATCGTGGAGTCACCACTGAAACTGGGTGGTGCAGCGCTTGGTATCGTGGGCTTCATTGCTCCCATCATAAGGCATCGTTTGCGCATACTTCTTTACTGCATGACGAACCTCAACACGCAGCTGTCGTGTTGATTGCTTTCTGCCCCGGTTCTTGTCAAAAGATAGTCGGGACATGATTTCCACGGCCACAAATCCAGTTTTTCGATGTTTTTCGTAGAGAAGAAAGAATTTGCCAGGGCTTTGCAGCGTGGCTCCTTGGGAGATCTCGCGCCAGCATTGGCATTTGCGACGGCTGGAGCCATCTATTGGCGACGGGGCTTGATTTCATTCTTCTCGAAAGCGTGAGAACCTCCACGGTGTACACGGCTGCCCTGCAGTTAACGCAGCACTTGAAATTGGCTCTTCCCTGTAAGAAAGAGTGAAGTCGCCACACACAACCCTGCAGCAATGTATCGGCACATCATGGCACATCAAGCGAGACTACGACGACTGGAAGCAGCTACGAGCGGGGCAAGCAGTGCCAGGAGAATGTATGGAGAAGCACTTAGCGAGAGAAGCAAAGACAGACCCTCACAAACCGCCTGGAACATCGCTGGATCATGATGTGCTGACGTGCAGTAGTCAGTGTTTAAGTATTTTCAGATGAGCTGTGCTACAACGAGTGAACAATGTCTGGATTCCAAAGTACCCCATCGCCCCCAAGACTCCGCCAAGGTACATCTTGCTGCTGTCACCTCAGGGCCAGTTCTCCTTCCTTGCAGGTCCACCAGCGTGGGCGATTGACGAGACAACCCTTCGCAATGTCATTGTGCCTGGTCAAGACTTGCACATTGCAGTAACTGCTTCAGTTTGTGTTTTCTCTCCATGGCTTCATTCCTTTTGCCTTCGATTCTGCTTCAGGATGAATCCCTGAACTTCTTCTACATCTGGCCCGGCCTGGATGCTGTTGGCCTGCCAAGCCCCACAAGCCTTCTTGGCATAGCGCTGCCCAGCGTGGATCCTTTGCGTCTTGTGTCTCGTCGAAGCCATCACCGATTTTATCCTCAGGGGGTTGGGGTGCTGTTGGTTGCTAGAAGCTTGAAGCGGAAAGGCATGGGCTTGCACATGTTTGCATCTTGAGTAATCCTGAGGGTGCCAAGTGAACACGAGCCGAGGCCCTGTTCAATCTTGCAGCTGCTTGGCCCTGGGCAAACACGTTCGACTTACTAGCACAACATCGCTCGCTGTTCAGACGATGGCATCCTTACTGAGTGAAGACTGAGGAAGCCTATGCTTTCATGCTGCTGCCGCTTCTTCTTTGGGATCGGCCAAAGCGACAAGACGTCTACAACTGGTGGGCACCGGCCATGTTTCTGACAAATGCGATGCCAGGCTGAACGAGATTGCTGGCAGATCTAGTTCTAGTTGCAAAGAAAAGCGTTGCAAACAAGGATCCTGCTCCCATATTTTGCAGTTCGCGGCATCGTTGCTTGGCTTTTACTTGGATCATGCGCAGCATGTGCAGAGGTCGTTGCCTTCGTACTCTTCTGCTTAAGTGATGTTCCGCCACGTTGCCTGAGGCAGGACCATCGCAGGTTTCCAAAGCTAAGCCAGGTTGGGCGTGGCCCGGCTATCGCGACGAGCAGTCACTGTGCTCGCGCATTCTTGCATTCACACCCTAAACCCTAAATCCTAACCCCCGTAGCATGTCCTGTAAGGGCTTCGCTTCCCTGCTTTCAAGATGGGCAATGGCGATTGCAAGTGCAAGTGCAGGTACAGTTGCATGTCTTGCAAGTACAGTCGCATGTGCATGTCAGACAGTGCAGTGTAGTCTTGTGGAGGCACGGGGGCTCCAATACCATAATACGTACTGGCCCATTGTGATGTTTGTTATAGTATTACATTCTAATCTATCTTTTACCGTGTTTGCTTTGAAGTGGGCAGTACAAACGAGCCTGTAGCCTGTAGCCCAGCATGACCTAATTTCCTCGAATGCGCAACTGCATGTATAGGAATGCGTACTTTGCATGTGCTGAATTTACACCATTGCATGTTCTGCATGCCGTACTTTTGTGAGTGAATCTGCGACCTCTGCATGGTACAGCATGAATTCACGAATGCGCCACGAATACACATGAATTCATGAATTTGTGAATTTGCTCCAGTAGCACCACGAGCACGATACACGACATCGCCATCTGTACTATACATGATAATTCAGGTCCCATCTGTAACTCTTTCGGACTGCATCGTCACGAAGCTGCAAGGAGTCCTCAAAAACCAAGATCGATTGCGCCTTGCGGACATGTATAAGTCGTTAGAGGCCTGAGTCATGGGGGCAGTCTCTGGCTGTACTGATTTTAGGATCTGTGATGTGCGTCTTTCCAGCTTGACATGCTTGAGTAGGTGCTCAGGTTGCTTGTGAAGCCGCCGGAGTCGTCTGTCAGTCTGTCAAAGTCACGTCACGTGGTGACTGCCTTTCTGAGCTACGCTCCCTCGCACACCAGGCCTCAGCCACTTCCCCCCCCCCATGTGATGCATGATGCTGGGGTCGCCTGCCTGCTTGCTCTGCCTTGAGAGTCGCAACTCATGCCGTGGGTTGAGTCCCCCCGCCCTGCCCTCCACTTTACTAATTCCCTAACCCGCGCCCACTGTTTGCAGCCATGGATAAGTACTGCAAAGTCTGTGGATATTGTGGGATGCCGCGACATGCGCTGCTATGAGGAGGCTTCCGACAACACAAGTACTGCTGAATGGGTGCGGATGCCTGCCAGTCTGCTTTTTGGGTGGACGAAGAAGCTGGGCAAGTCAGTGACAGTGTGAGTGTCTGTACTTTGGACAGACTGAGACACAGAGGACGTCGATGTCAATGTGGATTGTTACTGACCTGCATAGCTGAGCTATAATGACCACCCAGCATGCTTCGTGGTGGCCGAGAAGAAGTGGGTTGACCCACATAGCTGAGCTACAAAGACGACTTGACAGCTTTGTGGTGGCCGGGAATAAGAGAAGAGGCGGCCAAAGACTTATGCACCCTCCAACAGCAGGGCGCATCCGCTGCATGGTGTATTCGCTGCATGATGAATTTATCTGCATGGAGCCACGACTGGAATTTCTGGGTCAGAATTTACACATCACTACGTACGGCGGTGAAACATTGAATTCATGTCTTGGTGCGTGGAGCGATGAAGAATTTGGAAGCGGCACGACTGTGGAATTCAACACGGCGCTGGAATGGAGGAAACGCTGCAGGTTGCATTGAGTGGAATTCAGGCATGCGAATTTACAGCATGAAGCAAGTGGAATGCAAGCCCGTGAAAGGAGGGCTACCGAACCGGCCGCAGCAACATGGTGGCTTGGGTGTTTGAAGTCAGAGCGTTGTCAGCATTTTGCTGTGCCCCCTGAAACATCCTCTGCATGGTGACCTGCTATGACCCGAATTTGAGTATAGACGAGAATACCTGTGCCGGCCAGTGGCATAGTAGTCCGCTGCCAGGTCAGTTACAGTGCATGGTCGATGCTACACATAGTCTTTTGATGCTACACATAGTCTTTTGAAACAGAAGCAGTGAACTCACTGCGTCAGGAATGACCCTGAACTGCTTGGACAGGGGGCATCGAGAGCACGCGGATTGTGGATATAGCGTACTCCTGCTTTGACTTCTTTCCCTTTACGGTGGTGCCAGCTCTCTGCTCGCTTGTTCAGCATGTTCACGTAGCAAGCTCGGAACCTCATTGCCATGCCTGCCTTGTGCGAGTGTGTGAGTCGAAACCCCGTAGCCATTTTGGCTCAAGGTCACCACGGGGACGAATCCGCAGCCGGACAATGAACGGCTCGCTGGTACTCGTCCTAAGTGTGACCTGCTTTCGTTTCATACTGGGCGTGTCCTTTACAACGCTTGACACCCCGTATGGCCCGCTTCGCGATGTTCATGGTGCTCTTGCTTGCATTGATGGTTCGAGACTGTGCACCCCTGACGGATGGTACGACCATCTGGTTCGAGCCTTTTTCATGGCTCCGGGCGACCAAATAGCACAATGCATTTGCTGCTATTTCTGGTATTCAGTCTGCAAAGTCTTTTGGTTGGGCCAGGTTGCCAAGATGGCAGAGAACATCCTGTTCGTTTTGGCTCAGTTTGCAGCTGCAGTCGAGCAAGATTTCACCTCCGTTCTCAAAGCCTCAGGCTTGTTGGCTAGTTTCACCACATCGCGGGTATTTCCTTCCCTTGGCATGATGGAGCAACACATGTCTGGGCTCGACCGAGTTTCACAATCAACATCAGAAGGGTTGACTGAGATATTGCAGAAGCTGACGAAGCTTGAGCGAAAGATCCAAGTTTCCACGGTTGAAAGAGCCGTGCTTTTGCATCCTAACAGTGAACGGATCTTGAACGAGTCTTCCCTTCAAGCCGCCGCACCCTCAGGACATATGATTCAGGAGACTCTTGGGGTAGAAGTAAATGAACTTTCTAAAGATGTTCTCAAAATGAGACTCATGGAGGGTTGCAACTTCGACGAAACATTTGACCCCAAACTGATTTGGGCGCAATCACCAGGCAGGTTTGAAGACACCTTGATCTGGTCTGAGATACCATCCGTCGTTGAGAAAGCTGGCAGAGTTTCTTGATGAGGAGCAGTATCAGAGAGTGCTCTCAACCACGAAACTTGCTCCTAATCAGAGGACGCGTCTTGTAGCTTTGCTCAGGTACTCCCTCTGTACGTCAAGGATGCTTTCAAGCTTCCGGTCTCACGTCAAATCATTCATCCTGTGGTTCATGACTTTTGCATTGGGCGGTCTTAGCAGGACGACTTTCCTTGATGTTGTTTCATCCATTTCGCGCTGGATCACGTCAGGAAGTTTCGATGACGTTTGTCACCTCCTTGAACCTTCAAAGCACCCAGGCTTCCCAGCTCCGGTGGGCTCGACTAAACGCCAGGCGTCTGCGTTCGTTTCGTCTCTGCTTCGAGGCATGTTGAACGAGGAATCAGCTTTTGGTTGGAGTACTTTGAGGGTGAACCTACACGGTGCTAGATCAAAAAGGAAACCTCTCCGAGGTCCTACGGTCATCCTCTCGAGATCTCAGAGCGTCGAGCTAGCCGCAGGGAAATTGATTGACACAAGACCGTTTATATTCCCCAATGTGATCGGCGTGTTGTCACTGAAGCCGGTCTGCCAACAGGTCCTGGACCACTGCCTGCAGACGCCGTGGGGACTCGGCGACGCGTCCCTCACACCGTTTCGTCCTGACTCTCTGCGATTTTACTTGAAATTTTTGGTAAGTATGGGTCTCATTGGGGAAGACGAGCGGCTTGCGCAGATTTTCAGGTTACCGAGGTGGAGCGAGGAACTCGTGCAAGTGGCGACCACTTGGATAAGTGGGCTGGAAGAAAGGGTGCACCTTGCTTTCCAGTCGGCGTGGTGGGCTTCGGCAGATGGTGTGCAAAACGAGGGGCACTGTCCAGTGTCGGACACGAAGACGTGGCTTACCTATGCATGGGACGAGATTCTTTCTCAGGTAACTGAGGACGAGCTCCAAAGGGCTGAGTCAGGCAATGAAGGCTTGATTAAAGCCTTGAGGAGGGCCTCGTTTGAAGTGAAAGATTCGACTTCCTGCGGGTCGCTGGCATTTGAGGGCAAAGTCTTGAAATTCAAAGTCGACCCTCACAGAACTGAACCCACATGGCCAAAGGATCTCGGCAAGTTATCGGACTCGGAGTCATTCGTTGAAAGCTCCCATGAGGCTTCTGGAAGTCCATCAGTGTGGGTGGACAGTGTTGTGTCAAACGGCATCCAGTGCTGCCCATATGCTTCGTTTCCGGGGTTAGGTGAGTTCCCTGAGGCGATGGACATGCTGAGAAAGTTCCTGATGGATCCTCCTCAGTTGCGCGGAGGGTTCATTCTTGGGATGTTGAGAGACAAGTCGTCCGTCTCCAGCCTTGCAGACTTGTCACCAACCAGCTTTCAAGTTGAGGGAGATTGGAGGTTTTCATCCGAATTGGCTGCGCTTCTTTGGAAAGAGAGCGCATGGGACGGATCGGTGGTTTCCCTCTCCTCGGCTGACCTGGCTGACAAGGCTAGGTGCGCATGCAGCAGGCCGTTATTGTCAGCGAGTGAGCGAGCAGAGTTCGATCTGCTGGATTCCCTAGAGCCCACTGAGCGGGCGCGAAGGGTTTTCCTTCAGGTGCCGGCGATCTGGACAGTGGAAGAGCCAGGGACGACTGCTTGGATTGAACAAGTTGCTGAAGCCCTTCATGGCATCGCCGTCCCGCATCTGTTTGGAGACGACCTGTGTGAACACGGCAAGGCTCGCCCGTGCGTTTGCGGTGAGCAACTTGGAGATGAAGAAAGCGCTGGGGCATCACTGCACTACAATCATGAGCCTTGTCAACGAATTCCGACGTGGCTGTTGCGCAGGTTCTCCGCGTCATCTGGACGAGTGACTGGGGATCGCATCATTTCCAAGTCAGGCTCCGCGTTCTACTGTTCAAGGAGCATCTTTCCGCAGCTAGTATCAGGTGCCTGGGAGCCGCTGTCGAAGATCGATCACGAAGCTTTTTTCATTGGACTCAAAACTGTGGATAAGCCGAAAGCTGAACATCTAGCTCAGTTGCTCCTGCCTGCGCAGTTGTTGTCAAAAACGCTGTATGCAGTGCCAGATCATGAGCTATTTCCGATTGCTGCTAGGATCTGTCTCAGAGTCATCCGAGAGATGGGGGTTGAGAGGGACTTGAACTTGTTTC